CCCACAACCTTTCCATCCAGAGAGCACAGAAGAAGAAGCAGTAGCAAAAGAACGCAAAACAGATGAGGAGGAGGAGGGGGAGGAGGGGGAGGAGGAGGAGGAGGAGAAGGAGATGGGGAGAAGGAGAGGGAGAGGAGGAGGAGAAGGGGAGGGAGGAGGAGGAGAAGAAGATGGACGAAGAGGGGAAAAAAGGAAAGGAGAGAAAATGAAAAGAACCAAAGCCATGACCTCCCATCCAGAGACAACAGTAGAGTAGAGAAGCAGTAGCGAAGGAACATGAAGCAGAGCCACAATTTTCCATGCAGAAAAGAAAAGACAGTAGCAAAAGAATATAAAGCAAATAAAGAGGAAGAGGAGGAGGGGGAGGAGGAGGGGGAGGAGGAGAGGAAAAGAAAGGAGGAAAAATGAGACACAATGAAATGAACCACAGGCACAATCAATATAACACATCATCTTCCTTCTCAAAGGAAAAAAGAAACTGAATTCCATTTTTACATCTACTGAACCAACTGGCATAGTAGCTCAGTTCATACATCCTGGAACTGTTGAAATACAGACCTGAGTTGAGTTAGAACTCCACTTGAATCAGATGAGTAAAATACTAAAATGCTACATTTCTTTAAAAAAAAAAAAAAAAAAACTCCGCAGCACACCTCTGAAACAGTGGAACTGCTATGGAAAAAAATATATGTTAAAAAAAAAACAAAAAACTTTAGAAAAGAGAAGCAAAACAGCGACATTATTGCCACAAAAAAACAGGGCAGGAAAGAAGGAAAAGCTGCTGGCAGAATATGCGATTCCAAAAATGTCACTGTCCAAAATGTACCTTGGCCTCTGCACACTTGGGTACAATATTTCACCTCAGGCCTCTTCTTATCCCAGGGGCGCAATCGCACTACCGGTAGCAGGTGGATTTACTTCAGTGCTACAGTTGACACCCGGCCCACCATAGATGCCTTTCATCATAAGGGCATAAGAAATGCTGTTTTTTTAACTTTTGTCGGTTGATTCTGTTCCTTTTTTTGGTTGTAGCTTTCTCTTCAGCAAAGAGCCCTCATTCGTCGGTTCATTTCTTTCTATTTCTTAAACAATTTCAAACAGGTCGTTTTGTAGACCCCAATGTTGCCAACAATCCCTTGGGATGAAAGTGATACGTGTGGACAGACAAATTATAAACCACCAGTACTTCCCAAAGTCGCGGCTGGTATATGGCTGCGACTTTCGGGATGAACGGGCCTGGGGGCACTAGTACAAATCCAGTCAAGTGGAAAAGTCGCAGTTTTTTTCATTTGGCGGGCCTTATACGCGGCGCGACTTGCGGAAGTACGGGTGGTTTAAAAATGAAAATAGGAAAAGGAAGACAAGGAAATCAATTATTGTCCTTGGCCAACTAGGAAAAGGCCGCCATAGAGATGGTGCTGTAGGCCTGCAAGAATTGCTCTGCAATCCTTTTTCTTATTGTTTTCTAAGAGACTCACTCACCAGGTCCCAGTCTAATGCACCTGCTAGTTGGACTGTGCTGCAGGTACAACCAAGACAAGTGAACATGAGGATTTCCCAGCTATCTTAAGGGCAGTCTTGTCCGTTTCACACAGTCCAAGGTCCCTCCTACTTACCCCGATTCTGCGTTTCTGGTCATTGATCATGGTAATCTATGGTCCAGAACAACTTATCCATGGCAGCCGGACCTAGCCCGAGGTATGCACTCGGCAGAACAGAGGTTCTAAACAGCCACCAATTTCCGTTTCTAATTTGGGAAATAAGAAGCCAAGCAAAGTAGGGAAACAAGAGCAGAGAAAATGAACTCTGTGATGGCTAGCATTGTTCCCGCTCCCCCTGCTCCCCACCCTCTCTCTCTCTCTCTCTCTCTCTCTCTCTCTCTCTCTCTCTCTCTCTCTCTCTCTCTCT